GAGACTCCAACTCAAAAAAAAAAAAAAAGAAAATGGAATATGTCGAGAGCCACCCGTAGAGGTCTGCCTTCTGACATGGTCAAGGAGACTGATGACCCCAGCCTGCACGGCAAGCCTGGGAAGGCAATGGCTCTGTTGCTCCTGCTTTGCTTAGTCATGCTGCCGGTGGCTGGGAAACCATAGCTTACTAATCAATCACAGAAAAAAGATTCCAGGAGAAAGGGACATCGGGCAATAATAATAAGTTACTCACTACCAAAAAATCACAGAAGTTCCCATGCTGCCACCATGCAACTTTCCTGGACTGAAACATACCCCCCTTAAAGGGACCCCAAATAAAATGATACAATATTGCTCCAAATGGCATTACACGGGTGCTGGAGGCTGGCCTGCTAATGCAAGAATAGGAGGCCACTTCCCCTGCCAGGGAGTAGTAAATAACAACTTTAAATATCATGTGTTCCATAAAGGAGAACTAGAATTATTTGTTCTCACAGATTGGAGGAGAGTCAGAGAGATATGGGGTTGCTATCAGTGGCCTAACAATTGTAAATTGTTGTGCCAACTTTATTGGCAGGACCCTGAGAAATGTCAGTGTTCCGGAGAATGGTTTTGGACTAATATTAAAAGTAGATTACCTGCCCAACTTTTGCGGTTGCTTCATGGCTTTTGCATAACTAGGTTTAAAAGGTTCATAAATAACCATAAGTACAATAAGGCTTTGTTTTTACCTGTGCTTTATGATGTCATGGAAAGCTATATCTGATTTTAAGAAACCAAGAAAAAATTTGGAAAGATGTAAAAATTTCTGTGTGAAGCTGGGTTCGGTGGCTCAGCCTGTAATCCTGTGCCTTTGGGAGGCTGAGGTGAGTGGATTGCCTGAGCCCGCGGGTTCGAGACCCACCTGGGCAGCGAGACCTCATCTCTACAAAAATTAAAAAAAAAAAAAATCAGCTGGGCGTGGTAGCGCATGCCTGTAATTCCGGCTACTTGGAAAGCTGAGGCGGGGAGGATCGCTGGAGCCCAGCAGGAAGGCTGAGGCAGAAGGCTCACCGGAGCCCAGCAGGTCAAGGCTGGGTGGCCAGGAGCAGCCACTACACTCCAGTCTGGGCAACAGAGTGAGACTCCAACTCAAAAAAAAAAAATTTCTGTGTGTGCTACACAAAAGCTTGTGTAACAAAAAACTATATATAAAGTAGATTGGTCAACAATAAATGAGCAGTCCCACCCAAGCACTGGGTCCGTGTCCATTCTTTCACCAATGCCGCCCATCCTTTGGGAAACACTGAACCTCCTGGAGCAGGACTCCAGCAAGTGGCACGCGAATAGGGACCTGAAGGTAAGCCTTTGAGATATTCGGGGTGGCTAGGACCTCACCTGGGGTGCCACGGGCCCCCCTGTAGAGATAGGCAGGGAAAGGATAGGTGAGAAGTATTCAGAACCTTGAGAAGCTATGGGCCATACTGAGTCTACAGAAAGAAGACTCTTTATTGAAATACTTTTACATATGCTTTCAAAAAGGGGGATTAAAGTCTCCTCCACACAACTTGCATGCTTTTTACATTTTGTACAAGAACAGTGCCCCTGTTTCCCTGAAGAAGGCACCGTTAATTTAGCAACATGGACAAAGGTTGGGGAGGAATTAAAATGTGACTATACTCTCCATGTCCAGAACGAGTGCCTGTAGATACTTTTGCATTATGGAACATAATTAGAGATGTTTTAGATCCACAACAGAAAGCTGATAAAATGCCCATTAAAGTAAAAGAGGAACCAGGTGAAAGAACTCCCTCACTGACCCCTGTTCCTTCCCAGGCAATGTTAGCCACTGCCCCTGTTAATGACGATCATTTACCCCCTGAGGATGAGGTAACTTAGAAGAAGAAGCAGCTAGGTATCAATTTCATATTCCTAGGGAGACAGCCAGGCAGATAGTAAAAAATTGTATTTCATGTCCAATATCTATTGGCACTCTTCCCTCTGGGGTTAATCCTCATGGACTGAAACCCAATTCCCTGTGGCAAATGGATGTCACTCATTTTCAAAGCTTTGGGAAATTATCATACATACATGTCACAGTGGACACATTTTCTCATGTAATCTTAGCCTCAGCTAGGACTGGAGAAGCCTATAAGGATGTAGTCCAACATCTATTTTTTTGCTTTTCACAACTGGGTATTCCAAAACAATTAAAGACTGATAATGCTCCTGCTTATACATCTAAAGTCTTTCAACAATTTTGTGCCAAATTTGGCATCTCTCATTCCACAGGAATTCCCTATAATCTCCAGGGTCAAGCCATAGTTGAAAGAGCCCATCAGACTCTAAAAAATCAAATAGTTAAATTACAGAAAGGAGAATTTAAATATAGTTCTCCCCATCATATTGTTAATCATGCCATGTTCGTGCTTAATCACCTTAATTTGGACTCTTTGGGTCATTCAGCTATGACCAGACATTGGAATCCCAAAGAGACTATTAAACCAATGATAAAATGGAAGGAGCTCCTTACAGGTCAATGGAAAGGACCAGATATCCTTTTAACATGTGGGAGAGAATATGCTTGTGTTTTTTCCCAAGATTAATCTTCACCTATTTGGGTTCTGGATCGCCTAATTAGACATGTCCAGTCTCCCACCCCCACCACTGTTCAGCTTCCTGAAACAGGAACAAAACCGCCCAAGCTCAACTGATGATAAGGAAGAAAAAACTCTTGTGCCTCAACTGAAATGTCTTGCTCTCAAGAGGCCTCCTCGACCCTGACCATCTCCGCCACCTTATTGGCCTCCGCCACCTTATCGATCACCGCAACTGTGACTACGTTCCGCTGCCTCCATGAGAACTTGAAACTGCCAACTTGAGGACAGCTGAAGGCGCTAACATGTGATGCAAAGGACAAACTGTAAATAAGATAAGAGGTTGCCTGCAATCTCCTTATGCCTTTTTAGTAACCACTGATTATAAATCTTTAATAATTTCTTTCGATGGACAAAAATATCAAACTTTTTATAGGAATTGTAAACTTACTAATTGTCTTTCTTTTTTAATTAATATAAAGGGTTTATGACTGTAAAACAACCTCCTTATTTAATGTTGCTTGTGAAATTATCAACTCCATGGTTTGATGACTACAGGCTAAAGGTTTTATATGATGTTAATCCCCTTTTAATTCTTCATAAGCGATTTGTGGCTACATTAATTTAGGGTATTACTTTTTTAAATACTATAGCTACATTTCTTTCACTTTTGGCTGTAAAGTTTTAGCAAAAGAAATTCATACTGTGTCATTTGCAGATCAACTTTCAAAAAATATCTCTCTGGCCCTTGCCACTCAAGAAATCATTGACCAGAAACTAGAGAGTAAGGTCAATGCTCTCAAAAAAGCAATACTCGCCATAGGACAAGAATTAGTTACATTAAAAATCAAATTGGCTTTAAGGTGTCATGCAAACTTTAAATGAATCTGTGTGACCCCCTTTCAAGTGAATAAATCTATCCACACCTGGGACCAAATAAAAAAATCAACTCAAA